CTCTCTCTCTCTCTCTCTCTCTCTCTCTCTCTCTCTCTCTCTCTCTCTCTGTCTTTCTTTCTCTCTGGCTTTTCCTAGATGAAAATGATGGAAACTATGCACTGGAGAAACTAACAAACAGTTCTTTGCACAGGTTTTTCGTTGAATCACTGCCCTCGGGTGGCACTAGACTTTCGTGTGGCTTTAAGAATGTATTGAAAGTTAAGCGAAATGCCATTACTTGCTTTCTCACAGGCAGTGTAATGAACCTGGCCCTGTAATCTCACACTGGCTCTCTGTTCTTATCTCACACTAGCTCCGTGTTAAACGGTTTTCTTTCTTCAAGTCATTCACCCTGTCCCTATCTGGTGTAAACCACAAGTTACAGCATTGCTAACTTTCGTTATGCATGTAATGTAACGAACCAATCTTGCGTCGAATCAGAGGATCTTCCACTAGCTTTCTGTCGAGTCGTTGCGATTGTCTCGCGTGAACCATAACTCTTAGCATTGCTGGCTTTCGTTCCATAGGTAATGTGACGAACCTACCGGCCAGCATGGTACAGGACCAATTCGGCATCGTGGGGTTGTTGACTTTTATCCGAGCGGCGGAATCCGACCCCAACCTCGTCTCGTTAGCTCTCGGCAGTGACCTCACCACGTTAGGACTCAATCTCAACTCGCAGGAGTAAGTCGTGGACGTGGAAATGCGCAGTTTTTAGCACGTTTGCTCTCTAGTCGTTCGACCTGTTCCGAAGTTTGAAATAGCAGCCAGCCTGCCTGCCCCCTGTCAGGGACCCTTGACTTTTGAGCAGGACTGGCTCATTTTTATTGATTTTACTAGAGGTTATATAGTAGAAAGCAGAATTTTCGTATTCAGGACTGACTGGTTTTCAGACATACTTCTATTCCTTCTGGCTGTTTATACCGCAGCGTTAATATGTGGACACGGAGAGCCGGGCTCGATAAATGAACCGAAACTTTTCCACATTTAACTGAAATTTTTGAATGCGGGACGACCTACGAGTTAAGTCGAGAAAACCCAACTGAGAGAAGTTTCGCTGTCAGCTGTGTTTCTATCTAGGTGCTATGTTATCTTCTACAATGTTCTTCGCAGGAACCTATACCCGACGTTTGGTGGTCCGTGGGCGGAGGCACCCTGCCGACCGCAAGACATAGACTTTCACGTGCCGCAGGAGTACCTCTGTAACATTGCCATCAGAGACAAGGTCAGCCTAAGGGCATTATGCGTAGCAGAGGGAGTCAATAATGACGGGGGAGGGGTGCAATCTGAATAATTAAACTCGCATGAAGGGATGTTAACAGATATACAAAGTTTTAATTATTGACCATCTTTCTTAGTCATCAGTGAATAAATAATTGATTTTGTGACTGGATGCCTGGTTATTCAATAGGGACAAAACATTATCTTATAAAAGGTCATCGTGACACGTTAAATCGATCTATTAAAATGTTACTAGGTCACTGCCAATAACAGAATATATGTGATCATGTATTAGCTGGGTATTGTTCTATTTGTTTCATTTCAGTTGTAGGAAACTATTAGAATATTGTAGTATGTGCTGGTTTCTTTTTAAGTTGATTAATATTGCTATTGTAGGAGATTTGTGTCGAGTAAAATCCTTACAGCTTAAAATGATGTAGTATGCATAAGTGATAGTCTGCCTACGTGTACCACAGTGCATAGCTGGTAGGCACGCAAGTTGTGCACGATTCTGTCGTCTACTACAGCTTTGCCGTTCCTGTTGCAGTTGGCTCCGATCAAGCTGAATCGATATGGTGAGGACCTGCTATTCTACATGTTCTACACGCACGGTGGGGACGTCCTGCAATTGGCTGCCGCCGCGGAATTGTACGTACTTTTTTTTTCAATTTCTACGTTCCGAAAAAGTCCATTTCCACCAAATTTTTTTTCGTGCAACCATCATCATTTTCGGTACCATACGGTACTATATTCTACTATATTCTAGTAGATGATGTAGGCAATTGAAGCAGTGTTACTTTTAACAATGCAACTGTCTCAAGCATACTTAACATAATGAAAGTCCCAAGGTATTTTCTCAATAATTTATAACTGCATAATCGAATCATCTAGGTCAGGGGATATTCGTAACGTAATAACTTAACGTTGATACTGTTTTTCGTGTCAGTGCACCCTTTTTTTCTCATTGGGCCATGTGCATTGTTGCAGCCACTCGCTCCTACATAGCAATATTTTAGCAAATGTTATTCCATGTGCTTGTGTTCTATTGTCTCTCATTAAAAGAGGTGTGCATGCCTCCTGGATTTGACCACCCCCAAAAAGTTTTTGGACTCCCAAAACCTAAACACGGAAAATTTAATACATCTGTAGTCATTCGTCTTAACATTAACTTTTTCCAATAGACCAGACCTCTATAATACTCTGTGTACGAGAAACTTGACCGTGTTTCTGTCGACAGTGTAACTAACACAACACGGCAGCTAGCTAATGCGTGCCCATTTCGTCGTCGCAGGTACAACCGGGACTGGCGCTACCACAAGGAAGAGCGCGTGTGGATCTCGCGTGCTCCCGGAATGATCCCGATCGAAAAGACGGCGCAGTACGAGCGCGGCACCTACTACTTCTTTGACGCGCAGAACTGGCGCAAGGTCGCCAAGGAGTTCCACCTCGACTACGACAAGCTGGAGGACCGGCCGCACTTGCCGCAGTCGATGCACCCTCACCCGAACCAGATGTCAGCGTTCACCGTCGGACCTGTCCAGTAGATCCACCCCCCGCCCCCCGCGGGGATCGAGAGTGGAGAGAGGATTGGTCCGTTAGATCTGCCCGCTCCTCCCAACCACTCGGGGATCGAGAGCAGAGGGAGGACCGGTCTGGTAGATCCCCCCTCTGCCGGGGGATCGAGAGCAGAGGGAAGACGGAATAGAGAGATTCCCCCTTACCTCTGCACATGTGCGCGGCACCGAGAAAGAGAGATAGCGCGGGACGGTAGTGGTGTACATTATTAGGTGTATTGTGCGCCGCGCGCGCGTGGGCTGAGACGCGGCAGTGCGCGCGCCGGTTATTTAATATGAGATTTCCATTTTAATGCAGCGGCGACGTCTCGCGGGGTCACTTAGGGTCATGCTGAGTCGTCGTCGAGTCACATTGATTCTTATAGAGCCAATATCGAGCCACGCGGTGAATACAGCTGAGACCTAAATACCTGAGTTATTGGCAGCCCGCTCTCATTGGATGTTGCTGCCACGCCAACAAGGCTAGAGCAGTTTTGCGTCGACTTTGCCGTGCTTCGTTGCTAAGCATTGTTTTTTAATCGTTCCGTTGCAATGATGACTGGCTAGAGCTGTGTGTCGGTCACCCAGTGTGGGTAGATTTGTTCTGCTGACGTGCGTCTCCTTCCGATTGTTCTATCGTTTACCTGCATGCACGAGCAACATGTAGAGAATACTGAGTGAGCGTAGCGGGCAATTCCTATCCTGGATGAGTCACTGCTAAACGATGACCATCATTGACATTAACTACGTAACGTGACGCAATTAATTCTTGGATGGACTCGCCTTTTCCCCTGGTGAGTGAGTTACAGTAAGGAAGGGCAGGTTGAGTTGACATGGTTGAGAGAGAGAGAGAGATGTCTTCAGGTTGTGTTTCACTCTCAGCGAGTTGATACGCAAGAACATGATACGTGTCACACCGCACGATGCAGTGGAGGTGTTTAAGATGGCTCTCTTCAAATATCCATCGATTCTTCTCTTCCTACATTATGAAAGCATTCCTTGACAAGATCCTTTAGATTATTAAGGTATTAAGGTCTTCACCCTTGCCTTTTGTACACAGCCATTACGTTTAAAACCCTGCAAGCACTGCTGTGATACAGGGGGTCGGAATTAAGAAAAAAACTGCTACTAATCCTCCCACAAAGAGACAGCCAAAATATACTTTTCTGCAAAAGTCGAGTTGTTTTGATGAAATGTTAAAAAGTGTTCTTTCCCAGCCTTTCACCTTTCTTGCTGCCAATCTGCTCGAACCAGATAATTGTGGGAGCGTTGGTTTCGACCCCCTGTGATATGTGCAGTGATGCCTTGCCTTTGGGCATGTTAATGAGTAAATTCGCGACAATTTGTTTACGCCGGAACTTTACGGTTCCGTGGATTGAGCAGACACGAACACTCCACGGAGGATGCCCGATGTTGCAGTCTTGGCCGTGTTGCCACTGTAACATGCACGGTTCCCGCACGACGAATGCTGCTTAGCTACAGACGATTGTCTAGGTATCATGGCAATGTGATGACGGGGGCTGTCATGTAATAGCAACTAGAGAGTTGTGATTTACGCCCTACGTTACCATGATGACTCGATGGTTTCAGCTCCCAGTGGTCTGTGATCATGATAAGAATTGCATTGATTAAAATATTATTTTCTTTGTATAAAATTTCCGTTTTCGTTCAATTTGTTGCTTTGGTGTGTTTGCGTTTGACGTGTAAGCGCGAGCAGCCCGTTTCACTTCTCATATAACTTTTATTTTGGGAAAATAATTAATTAAAACAAAACGTATTTTATATTGTGATGTAACAATAGACAGCTGCTTGTTGTGTTGAAAAAAGGTGGAATCACAAAACAAGTACAAATACTGATTCGTATCTTTCTAATTCTCTACTCAAGCACAATATGAGCAAATGTTCACTATGTTTATCAGTCAGAACCTAATCGATTTATTATTATCAGTACCTAAATGAAGAAAAAGTTAAGAGACATCAAATATTAAATGTATCGAGTAACGGAATAGAGGAAACGAGCTGAAACAACGAGTACAATTAAATGCTGAATTGAATATTCGTGAAAATGCCATTTACGTTACATTACATATATTTATCAGGAATTGCACTGCAATTACAATTTTCAACAACATCGTCTTTAGTTAATTGGAGCCAGAGGTTTCCATTGGTAGAAGTTCAACCTCAAACCTCTATGCATATACACCCGTGAAGGTGTGTATCACATAAAGCTAGTGTACATGGCTGTTGTGTGAATCAGAGCGTGTCGCTTAACATTGTTCCTATAGAGATGACACAATTAGCTCGTCTGCATCACTCTATCGGAGCGAACAGGTTTTTGTAGCTAGAGATACGCAACCATGCAGCACAAACAGTATTTATCACCCCACGGTACAGTAAGTGACGCTGAGAGGGTCTATGTCCCCCGGGGTACTGCCGGAACGTACCCTGGGTACGGTCCGTTATACCGGAACGTACCCTGGTACTATCTAATATGCCGGACCGTACCTCGCCTACTCCACTAACGAGTCTAAGGAGTCGCCTACGCCTACTCCCTAACCCGAACCCAAACCCTAACCCTAATCCTAACCCTAACCACTAGCGGATTAAGGGCGGGGCAACAGGGGCACGTGCCCCGGGCCCCCACATTTGGGGCCCCACATTTAGAGTATCCTAAAATTTACAAAACTGTCGTAATTGTGATCCACAAATTCTTAGCATGTAACGTTGAAGTGATGCGTTTCCCATGCTAGCTGTTTTTCTGACTGAATTTCGCTGTTCAGCTGATTATTGATTGGTCTCGAATTGTTAGCGGGTGAAAGGTCATTTTCAAAACTCCAAGTTGGATTAAAAATCACATGCGAGAACCTAGATACAATAATGTAACCCAACCCAAGAGGATAGGCCTATCCTCTTGGGTTGGTTACATTATTGTATCTAATGAGAACCACGATGAGCCAAACAGAGACTGGTAACCTCAGTATTCTCGCTATCGGAAGTGGACATTTTAAATTCGTTGAAACACGATGAATACTCTCTGAATTTGCAAGCATGAAAGTGCGGAAAAATACAGACTATAGGCCCCCACACAAATTGCGGTGCCCCGGGCCCCCACACGCTTAGTCCGGCCCTGACCCTAATCATATCAAATATAGTGACCAGGGTACGTTCCGGTATACCGGACCGTACCAGGGTACGTTCCGAGCTACCTGGGGGACATAGACCCTATGAGCGTAAGTGACCAAACACGCATACATTTACTGCTTCTGCTTCCTCCCCGGGCTTCCTCTTTGTGCAACCAAGGCAAGCATGAATGCACGTATGAAACCTCATGTTACCACCACTTGCACGACTACGTGCGGCAGAGTTAGACATCTTTACATTCAATTCGCCTGCAACGAGTTGTCTGAGTATTTTATACCGCGATGTTCCTCTCAGACTCTATCGATCCTTACTATTTATTCAGATTATTTCTCGCCAGCGAAATCCTAAGATAGGGTTGCGTCATCTTGGGCGTGTGCCCATTGGTTGGTTTTGACCCACCTATCGCGGTTCTGATTGGTTGCAGCAGGTAGGTCGACATGCAAAGTAGGTTGTTTGTTTGGCCATATGGTTTGGCCTCGCGCGAGTCATTCTGTCGAAAAGAGTAGAACTGGTAAGTTGACTTTCTGATTCAAGGCTCGTATTAACGAAATTTATTGCGACCGGGCGTAGTATTTGCTAGATATTAGATGGATTATATTATGCACTGGTATATGAATATGATATTTTTCGTTAGTGTAGCAGCCAGAAAACAGTCTAATAATACTGTATTTGTAAGGGAATGTTCCGCAGGCTCTGTGGCAACTGTACGCGAGCTAGTGTTGGCGCTGGACGACTTGTCTGCCATTGCTCTCCGTTTCCTTTGTGTCTAAAGCGATTGTACGAATTCAGATAGTCGTACAGCAACACTTATACTTTATCTAAGTTACTGAATTTGTCTATTAATTATTGTAATTAAGGTGTGATTATTTATTGTTTCTGATGTTCATGTACACGTATATCATTATGTCCGGATGTAATGTGGGGTGTGGTGAACAAAATGGGTGTGGAGAGAGAGGAATAGAGAAAGAGAGAAAAATAGAGAAAAAGAGAGATCAGAATCATTGTCAATTTCGCGCCATATCATACCTACTGTACAGTATTTCGCCCCCATGTATTTTATGTATATATTTTGGCACTTCTGCAATACTCACAGCATCAATGTAATTATATGCATTTAGTTCGGCCGTTGTCGTATCAGGTACTACGTGTACCCTATGTAGGTTGTTTAGTATTATGTTTATATTTTATATAATGTATGTTTAGCCTTTAGGTTAGGTAGGGGTACACTTCTGTAGTCAAGTCTGGTACACTTTGTGTATACATATATCGTACAGGGAAAAAATATTTTTCGGGGGCTACTTTTCAAACTCGCGTGCATAAAATAGCACTATAAAATTTGGTTTGCATTGAACTCTATGCAAATCTTAAGGGAGCTCTTTTTGGCATTTCCGGGGCTCTTTTTGGCATTTCGGGGGCTAAATCGCCCGAGCCCCCGTGTATTTTTTTCACTGTATATGTACCTCGGCTACATATCTGTAGTACCTGATACAGCAACGACCCCTTCAGCGTCAGTATTTATTGTGAACGATCCGTATTTCTCGTTCCTAGAATTCAGTTCCATATATATGATATAGGCCTAATCATACAATGGATTGGCGCACAATCATGACATACAGACTGTAGGTATATACAAAACACTGGCGGTGGCAGTTTGATCTGCCAGTATCTATACTTCGTTCAGAAAAGATCCTTCATGTTGTGTAGATCTAACAAGTTATTTCGTTCAAGAAGTGACTGAAGGTCTTACCTTTATTGGCTACTATTCCAAGGTGACGTGTCAACGTGGTAGCATAGTGAACAAAGACAACAGCCTTCAAGACGTGTGTTCCGCTTTTATAATCTGTCACATGAGACTAAACTGGTTGAAATGCAGGCAAAAGAAAACTATAATTTGGCATGCATGTATTTCAGAAGTAGTATAATCAACATGTGTGCAAATTAAGGGAATGCAGTAAAAACCATAGAAGCCAGGTATTTCTTCTTTCCCTGTCAACATGAAATAGACGTTTGTGTGTTGTTTTTTTAAATCTTAAAATCTAGCTCTGATGTTTTTTTGTTTCCTGTTACTATGAAATAATGGCTGACCCGCATTGCTAAGTTTCCTACATGATTAATGCGTCTAAAGAGTAAAGACGCTTGTAGGTCATACAGTGGTGTATTTTTCATTTAACTCCCAGTCATGTAATCATCACGTACGTAACGAAATGGTCAAAAATCGATACGCGACTAGCACTAGCAGCCTCGCTTCAGAAGAGCCTGGCAAACTGCAATCCTATTTTAGGAATGTTCTCCCAGCGACAGCTGATGCTGCAGCTGTGGAAGGGCCGCCGTTTTGTTTGCTCCAGGCAGCTGCCCTGAGCGGCTGCTACTGCTGTTGTTGCTGCTGCTGCTGCTGCTGCTGCTGCAGTCTCTAGGGAGAGATGCAGAGACGATGTCGTCATTTCGGATAAATATTATTTGCAGATTGATTATATTAGTCACACCATAGGTCACACAGGGCGCAGGCGTAAAAACATTGTGCTAAATTTAACCACAGCTCCGGTTCAACAACATTGTGTTTTGAATGTGTTTACCATGGCTGTTTTTGCTACGTACCTACCTAGGTATAGTGAAAATTACAATACCTAAGCAAGAGAGCTCGAAGTTCATATTTGTGGGATAATTTATGTATGCTTCTGCGCGCAATGTTGAGTGGAATTTACTTTATGATTGTCAGGGCAACAGTGATGGGGTTAAGACGAGGTTAAGGTTATGGTTATGATGATGAGAATGATGTATGTACGGGGGTCCAAAAGTACATTTATGTGCTGCACTAACCAAGCAAGAAGTAGTGTTCGATACAGCTCTAAGGGTATCACAACTGTCAACATTATCGAAGGTGTACAAACATCTCCAAATTTATCATTTTTTCAATGATACATTTTCGAGATAGGTCTTTTATATTGTTATTTTATAGTATTAGACTACTATGTTCTCATATGTAAATTCTCATTGTAGATTAAGTATGCATTGCCATTATAAAAAAAGGCAATGCTACCAGTCCAGGTCTATGGGAGGTGGGAGAATTGTGTTTCTTTTATCTGTTGGAAGATATGATAGCCCTCTGGCAATGATCATATATCTTTAATAGACCCTTTAAACGTGTATCTCAGTTTGGTGATTATGCTAGAGGGCTTATGAACGCTGCGGTGATCAATAAATGCCGGGAATCAATAAATGCCGGGAACACGTTGGTGCTGTAGGCAAGTTCTTCCTAATGCTGCTCTAATACGCGGCTGCCCGTCTGTGTTTCAGATCATATAATGCACATTTTACCCGCAACACACGTGCCGATGGAAAATTGTCAGCTTTTGTTAAGTAAAGAGCAGCCCCCGAGTCACGCAGTGAGTAGTAAGGTCTCTGAAACCAGAAACCTCACCCGTGTACGCAACCTGTCCGGAGACAGCACCGACGGTCAGCAGGGGGTACTAGCGAGCAAGCAACAACGCACCAGCTTGCTGTCTAAGATCAGGAGATATCTTAGTTAATAATAGCAGCTTCGCTGGGAGAATCATCTTTTCCAGTAAGTGTTCGTTTAATGTTAATTTAGCATAATAGATAAATGAAGGAAATTATTTGAAAATAAATAATTTAAAAGTAAACATATTAATTAATGTACTATACTTATATATTACTATCTTATATAAATGAATGAATACATGTATATGTTTTATTATTATATACATTAATAAAATGAAATTGAAATGATAACGTTCGAAACCGTTTTATTTAAAAGGTTCGACTACAGCTAAAATAAGAAGCCAATTCTTTAGCCTGGACAAACTCCTCCGCACGCAGGACCATGGTTGGGCCAGCCAGCACCGCAGAATGTCCGATCCCCAGGATATGCGCACGACTCGCCACGGGCAAGATATCGGGTGTCGTCGTCGATTTTGCGAGAGAGCTAAGAGTTGAGGTGTGTTTGATTTTTCAGACATTTGTCTTTTCTTTAAGAATATTTGAACGTTTGAAATTGCGTGCGGCGCAACCGCAGTGTTTAGGTCTTCTCGGAGACTGCATGCAGGATTCCAGTCATTTTGGGGGTGTCTCACCAGATTTGTGATGATTGGGATTGCATAGTGTTTCGGGTTCAAATCGCCATCAGAATGTTTCAGTGCAATAACTTCTGAGATTAGGTAGGGAACGGATGTGGCCAATGTAAGCGTTTTAGCGGATATAACACATGAATTTCTGTTTACAGACGAGCTCAGTCGAACGTCGTTGGTAGGTGTTAGATTAGAAAACTCATTCCTACTCTAGTCTTGTGGCAACAGAATATACTGTTATATTTATCCAAATGAAACGTTATCATGTTTTTGGTCACCATAATTGGGATTAATTGCTATGGGGAAATGTGCCAGTCCTAATGTTTTCATTGGCCATTTATTTATTTTTTATTGAAATCGATGCTGTAATCTATCATTTTATTTGCATTATTATTTAACATTTTATTGCTTTTAAAGCGTTGTTGGATAAAATAAAACGTACATGACTGGCTATCTACCCTACCTTCTTGTAACTAGGTTACCCCAAACATGGTATTCATTTTGCTTTGCCGTAGATAAGTTATCACAAAGCCAAACCTGTATTTGCTGACATCTCTGTAGAATGGACTCGTGTCTATAAATGTCCTTTCATTACCAGTTACGCAATGATAATACATCAATATTATGAGCACCTGTTTTTAAAGGTCACTTTTAGGGATTTCCTTGAGTGACCCTTGCATACAGGTTTGGCTTTGTGTTCATTTTTATAGGTAGGCATTGTCATCTTTAAAAGGATACTCAACAAATGTTTGACAAGTGGGGAAATTTGATTTACCCAGCTGGACTTGTCTAATTTGCAGAGTGTCCGGTACCGCTAATAGACGTAAGTTCAAGTTGCTTAGGTGCACGAGTCAAAGGCGTGTCACTAATGTTACTTCCACTCTGTATTTCACAACAGGTTTGGGAGCAAGACAGAGCTAAGCAGGCGATGTTACAGACGCCTGTAGCCATGAGGAGCCCAGTGTTAGGGAGACGCCGCCGCACACGGGGACCGGTACCTCTGTGCTCGCCACCAGGGGGAGCTGCTTCTAGACCTACGCCGGCGCGGACCATCGTCACTTGCTATTAACCACATTGCAGCTTTCCCCAGGTCCCACCCACACGCACGCACGCGCCTTTGTTGCAGCCGTTTTTCGTTTAGCAGACACCATTCGGCGGGCGGGCGGGCGGACTGAGCCAAGGAGGCGCAGTCTTCGTACATCGTCGTCTCCTCCTCGTTAGCGCTGCTCGTCTCTCGCTGTCTCTCTCTCTCTCTCCCCCCGCCCCCCAGCCCCACTCATTTGTTACGCGGCTCTTCAGATACACAATGGCAACGCGACCGTAGCATTAGCGACAAAGGTGGGGCAAACAAAATGTGCGGGGATAGCAGCAGCAGCAGCCGCAGCGACGACGGCGGGGACGGATACCGCGACGGGCCTCTCTTCGTTCTACCGCGGCCTCGGAGTCAAGTTCGTGCAGAGCAAGTCGCCCCTGCCCCCGCCGCGGACACCGGCCCTGATGGTGGGACGTGGATTCACGACAGCTTCCTTCGTCAACGCCGTAGCGAGAACCTCGTTCGCGCCTCGTAAGTACACCGCGTCGAGTCGTGTTTTTTTTTTATATCTTGTAACAGCGAAACGTGTGCTCGCTGAGAGGATGGCGCAGCGAGTAAAGGGTGCATAAGTGTCAAGGTTGCAGAGTAGCAGCTGCTCTGAACTTGCCATGATACCTCGAAAATTGGCCAATATCCAAAGCAGTGAACAGCCTTGACTGCCGCTGGTTTTCTCCACACACTTCACATAACTTCTACGTTGTTTGCTTATCTCTCCCTGTTCCACATAAAAAAGTGTCGGTTAACAACTTGCCTGGTGCCCTAACGTTTCTGATTAAAGGTAGCTTCCCTTGAACTTTCAAGCGGAAAACATAAAATCAGGCAAAAATGAATTATTTTAACATTGCATGTTTGTACTTGCCTATATATGTGTGATAGGTAAAAAAAAAAAGCTCGGGAATACGTTCATTCGAAGCTTTTAGACTACAAAGTGAAACGTTTGGGTCGAATGTTTCCCAGCGTTTACTTTTGCCGCTATGCAGGGATTGTTCCGCTCTGCGCACTGGCCGTGTTATGAACCATGTTATGTTAAATTATACACACTGGCATGATATGACCGAATGGTTTTTCTGGTCACGTACTACATGGCTAGCTGATAGGGAAAGGGCAACGTTTTTGTTGCTGGGAGATTATAGTATTCTGAGCGAGTTAACGAGTGAGTTGAGTCAAGAGAGTCCTGTCAGGTCGCTGTTAGTTCGGATTACGTTTTGTTGGGTTTTTAGCACTGTTCTATCTCGAAAACGGTTACGGTAAAAATTCTGAAATTAATAACAAAAACAGTCTAGGTGCTTCTCTGTCTAGACTACAAAGTTTGATTTCATAAAATGATTTATTTTAAAAGTTATGACATTTGAAAGTGGTTACATTGACTTGATTGAAATGATGGTTGCTCAAATATAAACAATATGGCGCCATTATACGGAACCGCGGCGAAAAGCGTTTTTCAAGTTGTTTCTTCGTTGAGCAAATATAGGCTTGATACATATTTTTACAGTTTTGTTTTCAAAGCTAACGTTTGTTAGAAAAATTTACGTGGGAAGCTACCTTAGATCTCTAGACAGCACTTGTCGATCCCTGAAAATGGAAACGCAGTCCCTTTTCCGCATTGGCAAACGTAGTGTAGAGGACTCTGCACTAGTACAAATTTCCCTGCTCTGACACTCCCCTGGCCCGTGATGTGTAAATAGCATAATAACATGTACAAACGCATAACATGTGGGAACGTTCACCCACCATAGTACGCAGGGTTTCCTACAAAAGAAAAGTACCTTGCAATATTTCGGAATATTTCCTTATATTGAATATGCTTTAAGCAAATCTGCATTTCACGTACAAACCCGTTGCCTCTTCGGCGTGCGTTCGCGTGACTGTGATTCCGAAGTAATTAATGCGGCGGACGGTTTTTGTTGTAGCGGCGACGGTGTTGATGCTGGGCAGCAGGAACGTGCTGCTGATGGCTCCCATCCTCCTCGGTTACGACGTGACGCGGGAGCGACTGCTCGCCGCCCGCCTCCTCGCTGACACGCCCGTGTCGCGCGCTTTCCTCGCCGCCGCTGCCGGCCTCGCAGCCGCCGCGCTCACCACCACCGCCGCACTCGCATCGTCGCATGATACGAGGCACCTTCTCTGCCGCGGCATGTACAGGACACTCTGGAAGAGGTACATGCACGTGGGAGAGGGAGGGAGAGAGAGAGAGAAAGAGATTAGGGGTGGCGAGGGAGAGAAAGAGTAGGGGTGGCAAGAGAGAGAGAGAGTAGGGGTGATGAGAGAGAGAGAGAGAGAGTAGGGGTGGCGCGAGAGAGAGAGAGAGAGTAGGGGTGACGAGAGAGAGAGAGAGAGAGAGAGAGAGTAGGGGTGGCGAGAGAGAGAGAGAGAGAGTAGGGGTGACGAGAGAGAGAGAGTAGGGGTGGCGAGGGAGAGAAAGAGTAGGGGTGGCGAGAGAGAGAAAGAGTAGGGGTGGGAGAGAGAGAGAGAGAGAGAGAGAGAGTAGGGGTGACGAGAGAGAGAGAGTAGGGTGACGAGAGAGAGAGAGAGAGAGAGAGTAGGGGTGGCGAGAGAGTGATATAAAGATAGAGAGTTGCGCATTACGTATTTGTGGAAAACCCAGGCAAATTATATTGATCACACTGCAACGAGAGAGAGAGAGGGAGGGGATGATGGAGAGAGAGAACGGGAGGTGTGCCCTGTGTACGCGGACGAAAGAAATGATGGGTTGCCGTCTGCGTGCCGTGTTGTATAGGTGGCAATTGTGATAATGTATATAGTTGTTGGGATGTGATGTTGTTACACTGTTCTCCGGTTGGCAATCCATTATTTATGTGTCCGTGTAGACAGTGCTCGTCTAACTGTAGAACCTGTCAGATTTTAAGGTTAGGTTCTAAATTTTGTTTTTAGTATTTTTGTTGGGTTTAGAGTAGGGGTGCACCGGAATCTCCAATTTTTCAGAGTTCTTGTTCAGGCCGGAACCCTTCAGAAACAGTCGTTTCTGCTACAAGAGTCATCAAGATCAAAAGATCAGTCACTGAATGTAGTTGAGAGTCAATAGAGTCAACTTGCTGATAATATAGTGTTAACAACTTCATACTATTCTGCCCAAAAAACACTTGCCACTTGAACATTGGCTCACTAACTGTACTGAACCTAACTGATGTTAGGTGATTCATATAAGGCCTTTTTTCAAGTTCCGGCTGGTTCCGGTTCCGGCCGGAAATTAAAAAGTTGGATTCGGTACACCCCTAGTTTAGAGATGACGAATTTTGTGAGATAGATAAGTGGTTGTTCCTAAATTAATAGCAATTTTTAAAGTCTAGCTTAGCTGTTCATTTTCCAGCTAATTTTTGTGTTAAAGTACTGGAATCATTACTCATTTAAATTGGTGTCATTGCCCGTCTGGGCGGAAGCACGTATAGGTTTCCAGCGGCAAACTGGGGCACCATATGAATGTGGTGTTCGCGGAACGATCTCGATAGCGGGTGACGTCTGCGCGTGTTATTCACGCTCGTGCTTCTCTCTTTCTCCCCGCAGGTTCGGCCCCGCCGTTGCCACGCATGCCGTGTGGAGCGTCGCCATCTTCTCGGCACTGGAGCAGGCGCGGTTCGTGCTGTCCAGCGGCTGCGTGTGTGCGGCCGAGCGGCCCCGCGCCGGACGCTTCCGCGAGGAGAAGAGGTTGATGGTGCTCTCGCACCCACAGTCTCTGTGACGCGTCGACCGAGACGGCCGGGTACCGCCGGCGGTGGTTCGACATCTCCGCAGAGCGAGCGCCTACAGCAGATCTCATCGTAGTTATTAAATAAAATGCATTGCGCATTCATTCTGGCAGCGCGGTGGGGTAGGCACTTCGTCGTTGGGTAATTGGCACGATCAGTCGCTACCTGCAATTTTGCAGTTGTTTACTTGGAGCAGATGTCAGTAAATTATTGTGTCGTGAATGCGCTGTGGCAGCAGAGAGGGGTTAACGCTACGCTGTTAGTTCAATGTTGTGTAGGTGTGGAACTGCACTTGCGTCATACTGTGTTCCGATGGTACAGCATTTACAGGTTCGCACAAGAATTAACCCCCCCCCCCCGGGTGAACTATGTAGATGATACGATGCACTCTGTCTGATAAATTTCGAATGTGTACCTGGTTTTTGCGCTAGTATGTTATCCATCTGCTATAAACCTAATTTATCGTTAAGCGGATGCTATGATTATGGTTTAGTACTGGCAAAAGTTGCGCTAATGAATTTTTGACTGACTTGTCCTGTATTGTTTTGGGTGTGTGTTTGCAAGTAAGATGCAAATGTGGATGAGCACACAGAATTCTTTGAACCCCTCCTCTGTGTTGTTTCATGCCTTCTAGAGATATACAGACTTGTGGTGGAAGTAGAATAAACGTATCTCTGAATGTCGACGGAAACTGCGCTGCTTACATAATTTACTTCTTTAGCTCCGATCTCTAGGGTCGTATGTACAAATATTAGTATAAGTGTTGTGTTGTGCTATGATACCTTGTCGATGTAATAAGAGTAATGGAGGGTCTTATTCCAGCGTGTTTAGTTTCGGTCTGCTTATGTCTAATGATTACAAGGGACCACTCAGCTGTAGTCTATAATGTGCAGGAAGATCTCGTATAACTGTATGGTTATATTGCGATAGTTTGTAGTAAGAGGATATTTTGTGTTATTCCGATTCTTTCATAGTTCTTATGACAATCGTAATGTTTGACTGCAACCACAGTGCGTTGGTATGGCGGTGCCAAGATAACGTAATTCTCATATTTATGAAACGATAATTTCGTACTTTGGTTTTGATGAACCGATTACCATCGTTATACGAGATGCTACTGTACTTTTTATTGTTTTGTGGTCATTTTAGGGGCTGGATTCCTTTAAAACATCTTAAAAGTTGAATTGGATATGTAAAGGGAAAGCTTTTTATTATGCCCTGTTTCAGGAATTGATGATTCTCCTACAAGTATAGTAACTATTCAGCATTGATGGAAATGTGTTTTAATTTCATCAGTAACCCTTTTCTTCTTCATTTATTTTCATCTGTATTATCCCGATTTTCATTTCTGATAACAACTATATTATAATTTGAGAAAGGCTAGGTAGACGACTTGGTTTTCTTGATGGTGTCTGTCGCATATCTATGATCTGTAAGAGCTTCACTATATTACTTTTGTAAATAAAATGCATCATTATACTGTTGGCATTGTAATTTCTGTTCATTGTTTGTCGTGTTTATCTATTATTGATTTTAATTTTTATACTAATAATCTGGATCTGGATAGTTTACTGCGTAGCCCATAATAAAGATCAATTACAAGTCTGGTACACTTTGTGTATACATATTATATGTACCTCGGGTACATATCTGTAGTACCTGTTACGACAACGACCCCTTGAGCTCAATTATGTATAGAGATATACTGAATGTTTATAGCAAATTACTCGTGAATATGTGCTCTCTACTTTAAATATATAATTTCACCAAAATGTCTGTTCTTTTATCAGATATCGGGCATTCGCAAACATAGCTGCATGCTACGGTATAGAGATATGCGGAAAAAACCTGGTGCCAGCTATAATGAATAAAGGGAAAGGTGTGTCAGTTTTATAGCTTGCTACTCATAAATATGAGCTTCAACTATTACATGCCGGGACCTGTCTGAGGGCGACGACTTGCACATAATGACGGTTTATAAATGATGTCTTAGGCGGGGCTATTCCAATGGATTTACTATGAGAGAAAATCGGGACTTTGACTTCCATGAGTACTTATGCGAATTGACGACTGATGACTTATGCGAGTTTTACTCTAACGATATAGATATTCTTATCGATTTCACCCAACAGATGGCGGAACGACATCATATTTCATGTAGATTTTTCATTGCGATACAAATGTGATATAACTATGTGGTATAACCAGTGTATAATAATGCCACTAAGGCTCGGGTTATTTATACAGGTTTAACGATATAAATACGTGGAACATTGAAATCAGTCTCTAACAAAAACTAGTAAAATCCTGCAACGTAAAATCATACACCGTGATCAATTTCGAGATTTTACGGAACATTTTTATGACTTATTCGATAGACGGCGCTGTAGGCGCCTCGTCAGACGGCATTTTTTGATCGGACTGATCAAAGATATGGTTTGAAAGAATTGATATGAAAAGAAGAGATATGGAAAGAATTGATCATAGATATTTTGATCATAGGTATTGATCATAGATATCATATAACACATGGTATTGATAGTTAATGAGCGTGTTTTATTTCCTGGAAAATCGTGAATACATTGGATGGTCCCCGACTAGCCACAACACAGGCACTTGGACCGTTTCAATAATAAAATGATGGTTAATAAATACAACTTGTCAGTACTACTAGTACTAGTACTACAGTACCAGCAATAGTCTTAATGTTTGATTTGACCTAATAACTTCACTTCAACACCGTTAAATACACCGATGCAACCCATAGCCCGCACGCCATTGTGCATGCACAAATACACAGTAGGTTAGACTCTAACCTACTGTGTATTTAAAGATGCCTGCGCCATAATGATGGGATTCGTCGTTAATGCTCTATTCTATCAATGATGAGACCGCACAGTTATACGGTGCATGCACGGTCATTTATGCTGAGCATAATAACGCGTTAACTGGAGATGGAGATCTAATCGATTACTCGCGCTGACTCTTCGCACATATTTAAAGTGCACATAAAGAATTTTTCTTAGCCCAATGTTATAAGTCTGCGTCTGATACTCACTTATTTGTTGTTTGAGAAGTAGTGTATTTGTTATGTCAAATTATAATAGTGTACTTTTAGAGAATGCACACTAGTAAGATAGGGTACATGTTATTATGCCATATGCCTGTGTATAGATCAATGTCAATGAACCAGCGGCGAGTTGATCCACTAGTAGACATAGTATTACTATTGACTGACTCACTGGCATGATTGTAAAATAAAATCAAGTTAAGTACTGGGTGAACAAGTGCAGTAATGTAGCACATGTGAGGTATTCAATCAGCATAAGATGAATTATATATAGCAAATATATTACGCAATTAGAGTGTTTGAACTTATTTCTGTTAGACCTTTTAGTATGTATTTGCTAAGCCTACATATTACTAGTTATAAGGTTATCAAGCTCGGGAAGTCTTACGTGCGGAAATAGGCGAGCAATTCACTGCCTGTCTCGCATGAGCTTAACCTGAGGATGAGGACGCTTTCTCTCTTATTACTAGAGGATGAGCATCCCACGAGGTCGCTAAGTTAAAACAAATGTCGCTGCAGCTAAGGACTAGCCGTGCAATTGACATGCTCATAAAGGAAGCCTTGCGGGTTATGTTTGGCACGCACCTATATTGTGACGTATATGCCAGCACCGAAAAAATGGGATCAAGTAGGCAATTCTGCTGCCGGCTAGGTAAGATTAAATGAACTGAGATTCGGACCATTACTCGCACTTCACCAATAGTAACTTACATAGGTAGTTAGATTAAGGACATAGACGAAAGGGACTATCTAGTGATTTTGGAGATAAACTCAAAATCTATGGTGTACATGCGTATTTGTAATAGAACATAGTTAGCCGCGCGGCTATGCTAGCTCTTATCAAGTTGTAAATCATTCAGTACGGTTTTTTTTAGTAGCAGGTTTTGCTCAGTGGTCTAGTTGGTGTCTGTTTTATGAAGTAGACATTTGGGAGGGATAGGTGTAAACCTCTGGACACATAGTAACTTCTAGGTATATATAGTGCATACATTGCATGTACTTGGAACGTGATAAACCCCGCCCAAGGCATCAAGCCGACAATTTAATTTAGTACATCATGTACGAGTCTGGATCCATGTATTTTAACCGCGCAGGACTGTAAAGAATAGAGCTCTGACTAACTTACTGGTGCAGAGTACTCGAACGTGAGCGAACTATTTATGAGAGAGGAGCGCTATCAATAAAATAGAAATGGGAATCAAACGTTAAAAGCTCGAAATCTTATAGTCTTATCGATTAAACCATAAAGGTCATATGAATATTTTTCACTACTCTCTTTCTCAGACTCCTATTATTGCCGCAATATGTCCAGGAGCAGTGGCCGACGAAATGACGACATAAAAAATAACAAACTCACATAACTATAACGGCATAATTTAGTGTCAGTGTGCCTAGCAGCTACTTTAGCGTCTTCGGAGTGCAGAGCCAGCACTGGTGTGTTGGGCAGGCGATCGATGCATTGGACGGCATTTACAGGAAATGTCCGCCAAATTAATAGGTTGAAAGATGAGTTAGAAGAAACAGTTAAGACTTTGGTTATATATAAGACTTTAGTAGTCACTATAATTAGCATATAATGGGATTTTTATTATCTCAATAACGCCCAAGTGCCTGTGTGTATGAGGTAAGCAAGCAAAGCTACATGTTGGCAGGTAGTTTAAAGATATTTTACGCAGCTGGCGCTACGTGTCCGTTATCCGTCACCTAAGCTCTCCCGGTCTATGGGTCGGACAATTCGCATCTCAAAGAATGTTAGCGGGCTCGATTGTACTATGAGGCGAGCACAGCATGAATATGGCAATTCGGAACGCTCTGCTGATTGCCGAATCTACAATATATGCACTGCTGCGTTCTATCTTGTTCGTACGCTACTCCTCATAGGGGAGTACAAATTCACTTCCGCGGGTATCTCCTTACTCTCTCTCTCTCTCAACCACGCGCACTCACGCCTCGTCTCTCTGCTCGCCAGGCCCTATCCTCTCACACACCTTAGCTCGCTCCTCTCTCTCTCTCGTCTATCTCTCTCTCTCTCTAATCTCTCTCTCTCTCTCTCACGCATACACACACACATACACGATTCCCTCTCTCTCTCTCTCTCTCTCCTCTCTCGTCTTCTCACGCATCACACACACTCGGCCATCAGCAGAATGTCGCCGGTTGCGCATATCATCGTGTACGTGTCGCAAGATCACTGTGGTGAGTGACGTCTGGGACTCGTAGCCTAACGCGGCTCTTGTCGCGAACCGTCCGGTAGCACGGCCTAATTTGTATTACACGTAACTTCGTAAGTAGGCCTAGGTAGGATATAGCTCTAGTAACTGTACGCGGGCTATAGTTACTAATACTAGTTACTACTTACGACTACTAGAGCTAGTACTAGTAGGTGTGATACAACTTATCACTATCAATAATGACAATATCAGTACTTCCGTGTAAAATTTCATAATTAAATTTCAATCCGTAGTCCGTACTATACAATGTCATGTCGGGGACTAAACCGACCAGGCTCTCCGACTGTTACACGTCGTAGGAACGTAGGCCCTAGTAAGCGAGAAGGGAACTTGTGGCTCACAGGCACTTAGACCGTTTCAATAAATAAAATGATGGTTAATAAATACAACTTGTCAGTACTACTAGTACTAGTACTCACTACTAGTACTGAGTATACTACAGTACAGTACCAGCAATCAGTCGCTTAATGTTGATTTGACCTAAATAACTTCACTTCAACACGCGTTAAATCACGCTGCAACACATAGCCCGCACGCCCTTGTGCATCGTCACAGATACC